CTCCTGCTTGCAATTTTCTTCCTCCAGGCCATTAGTAAAAGAACCAAAAATGAAACTGATTGCACTGGCCTAAAGATCACCCGACAATGCTACAAGCTTTTATTCAATTTCATTTTCCTTTTTGTTAATTTACCCTTGCAAGCTTACACAATAATACAAACGCAAACGGTTTTGTGGTATCAACCGCCTTTGCTCATAACGAAAATGCAAAGGGGGAGTAACATGAACCACGAATAGTTCGATTAGTAAAATTTTCATCTCGTCAAAGCCTGAACCCATTCACCAAATCCACATGATCGTCGATAGACTTAGACAACCTCTCTGCTTCTCCAATGTATGACTGGGGAGTCAAATTCAAGAGAACGCTCTTTGCTTCTTCTGGCAATTGCAAGCCGTTAGTGAACTTTTGAATGCTCTCCTTGCTGACAACTCTTCCTCTGGTGAGATCCTTCAGCTTCTCGTATGCCTCTGGGACGTTGTATCTGCGCATAACCTAATGCAAGAAAACAAGAGAGAGTCCATCAGCAACAAGGGTCTCTTTTAATCTTTAATATTTTTGGTTATTTTGATGTTGATTGAGCAAATGATACTCTTGATGGTGTCTCGTTGGCTGATATTATACTTTTATTGGAGGAAATATGGTGATCTCACGATGAAGCAGACTATCGTGCCATGATTTATTGCTAAGGTTGATTATCAAGTTATGGCTCTCGTCTGCTTGAGGGATTATGTTGATTAAATACCTTCATCAGGAGATAGGTGTGTTTCTACCTCAGGCTATGGAAATACATCGTAATAATCAGGCTCTGGTTTATATTGCCAATGGTACAGACTAAGTCTCATGAGAACAAGAAGCATATAAAGGTTGATTGTCACTTCATTATGAAATGATATTGAGCAAAATGTCACTTCACATGTCAATTCAGACAGATAAGTAACGGTTTCGCTAAAACATTACCTTTTTTTGGGGGGGTTGGGGGGAGGAAGGGGAAGGGAAATTTTTGCTTAGATTTAACTAGCTATAAATGACAGGTCTATATAGCAGAAAAAAGAAAAATTATACAAAAGCAGTCATAATAAAGTCTAAAGGAAAGTGCAGTGCACTGTCAGGACTTACTGTTTGTATTGGTTCTGCAAGCACCTCCCACACCTGGTCCAGGTCTTCATTGAGACGAGACTCGTTTACCTACACATGATGGAGAAGGAATAAAGAATTAAGAAACGAAGAGAGTTACAAAGCAGTGTAATTTCATGAGTCTATGTCATTATTAAATATGTAATTTGGAATGAGACATATTGATAGCACTGTGGCAAAAATGTACAATCAAAGTATTATTACTTTAAAATAATGAGCTTTAAACTTCAAACTAATTTGGGCAAGTTTCAGAATAAACTTGATTAAATGTTAACAGTGGAATTGTCTTTATACATCGGTAGCATATTGAGCAAAAAAGGAGCTTTTGCCACTTTTAGATGTATCTTTCTTCGCATCAACTACTAGGACGTACAGACAGAATTTTTTCAAAAGAATCATGCCAGATATCATAGTTATGGATCCCAAATAATAGATCTAAAGGAAATTGAAAAGGATAGCAAAGACATAGTTCATACAATATTTTTGAGGGAAATGGTTAGTACAATTTTAGAAAAGAAATACTTATAGAGAAAAACTTAAACATCCGTAAAAATCATATATATTATTAGATGGATGTAAATTGGATAGAAATTATGTTGACAGCAAGACAAGAATTCATCTTGAAATGGATCCACATTTCTATGATCTTGTAATTCACAGAATTTAGCATCTTGCATTAGTGACGAATTCAAATTCAACATATGCCCAACCTAAATAGCTAAAGCAAGAACAGAACAAACAACATACATGAAGCAAAGAACGACGACAGCGGCACATTTCCTACCAATAACACATCTAGCTTTATATCTAATTCTCTAGTGATAACCATCTCATACAGATTTTACTACAAACCTGAAGCTTCCGGATTCCTTGTAGTGCACTTTTGTATGCCAAGAGAGAATACCCAGATCCAATACCCAAATTCCTCAAAACAGTGGAATCGGTCAAATCCCTCTGTCAATGATTACACATGCAATAAGTATAGTATCACTTTACCAAAATGAGACACTAAGACGTGTTTTTTGAACTGTGATATAGCACTGAACTTCACATTAGGTACTCCTCGAGAACCATGAATAAAGGTGGAAGTAAATGATACACACCTGCATACGAGAGACGGGCAATTTCGAGCTGAGAGCAGATAAAATAGCATTAGCCAAACACAAGTTGCCCTCACTATTCTCAAAATCAATGGGATTAACTTTATGAGGCATAGTTGAAGATCCAATCTCCCCAGCCTTGGTCATCTGGAAAGCAAAATTATCATGAAATTGTTTAGTTCCAAATTGGAAGTTTAGGAGCTAAAATAGGTCCTAATATTTTAGGGGTATAGTGGTCAAGCATAAGAAAGTTACCTGCTTAAAATAACCTAACGAAATATAGCTCCATATGTCCCGATCAAAATCAGTCAGGATGTTATTAAACTGAACAACTGCATTGAAAAGCTTTGCGATATAGTCATGCGGCTCAATCTGCATACGGAGAAAGCAACAGGCTCAGAAAGAGAGTATGCATGCAAGTCAAGTGCCATTCCATTCATAGGCCACATTGACGTAACCTTTCAGACAACACAAACTAACAAAATTATTAGCTGGCGCTGCAATTCCATTATTATTTATGCACTAACTGGTTGGTGTAGAATAGGCTAATTGATAAATGTACTGTAATTCCAAGATAGATGGATAACCTGCAAGTGTATCTACTTATTATCAAGCATGCACGTGATAGTATCTACTTACTATATGAATCACCTTTTGTAAACTCTTGAAACGTGAAATGGCAAAAAAAAACCTACATTTCAGTCACCTGAGTCGATTGCAAAACTCATATTAAAGAAAATCCTGAGGCTCTATTAGTTATACACTTTTACAGTTTGTATAGTTGCCTAAATCTTCACGAGGACTGTTTACTAGTAAACTAGTTCAAGCAGAGAAGGAATACAAGCAGCAGTGTCAAAAAAGTACAGGTAAATAAAGTACTCCTCCCATTAATGAAACCAATCCAAGTCATCCACAAAGAAAAAACCATATCAAAATCGTCTATGCATTACTTAATTACGCAAAAAAAATCCATCAAGCTGAAATGAATCAGATAGGTAAAACCTTGCAAAGAGAAAATTAGAAGTAAATAAACATGCCTGTGTCACGTAAGGGTTGAAACCTAACCCCAAAGAGGTCACGAACTCAGCTGCAACAGTTGGCCAATCAATATCAGGATATGCAACTTTATGTGCATTGTAGTTTCCAACAGCTCCAGCACACTTGCCCAATATTTGCACTTCTGTAAAGGTCTTCCCTACTTCACTTAGTCTAAAAGCAAAATTTGCCATCTCCTTTCCCAAAGTAGTGGGTGAAGCAGGCTACAAAGGGAGTTAGAAGATATCAGAACTAAAACATATAAACCTATTACAAAAGCAAATCATTTATTCCTGTAGCATAACGATGAAAATTATCAATATGATATTTCAGCTGCTTTGAGCAGTCAACTTAGTATATGTCCGCTTCTAATATTGGCCATGTCACTGGTGCGGTACAAGCCGTGGGACCCAACAAGTGTAACGTGTTGTTTGGCTCAATCCACTGCCAAAATCGACTAACCGATGTTACACTTAAATAATTTAAGCCACTTAAATTCTCACTCATTTCCTGATGTTGGACTAAATAGAAGTGTCACAAACACCCCACCTTACATAAGCGACGTCCTCATCGTGACATGACAATTGACACATCCCGGTATCACTAGGCTATGTGGACTCTAGAGGTGGCTCCCACCGCACTCACACAATATAGCACTTAGCCCCGCATAGCACTTAGCTCCACACTTCCGACTCGCAACTGCTCTCATACAATTTGTCACGCCCCGGGCCGCTGGGCCCATTGGTGCAGTACAAGCCGTAGGACCCACCAAGTGTAACACGTTTGGCTCAACCCACTGCCAAAATCAACTAGCCGATGTTACACTTGAGTCTTGGGCTTACCTATTTAAGCAACTTAACTTCTCACTCATTTTCCGATGTAGGACTAAATAAGAGTGTGACAGGCCAGAAAAACAAAGACATGATTATATTATTTATAACCTTCAGATTGAAAAGGATCCATTCAATTTATTTCATAGCATCAAGCTAAAAACTCATGAAGAAAGGAATGTAGAACATGTCCTGCAAATATATATGAACGAAGATAGACAGTATAATCTTTATCAAACCAGTAATTATACATAGCCCCATGTAGAAAATTCCTGAGTTTCAGCACGTAATCATTATTTAATTTTTTCTATATATGCCCCCTTCCCCACCAAAAAAGCTTACTTTTGTATAAAAAAATTCACCGAAATGACCAGCCAGAAATCTTTGAGTTATTTCAACCAAAAAAATCCACCACCAGGACATTAGGGAAAAATTCTTAGTGGAATATTATCCTGTGCACCTTAGATTAAGTTTAACTTTTTAAACCCAAGAGTACTTTGTTTTTCTTTGAGTACTCCCACTTCTCTAATCCTTCTCTAAACGAGCTCTTGTCAGTTGCATCCCTTCTCCATTTGGGATAAATTACATTAAGAATTTAGGATTGCTAAATAAATTAGTTCATGGAAATGAAAAAGAATTTTTCTTTTTCCTTGAAGCTCCTCTGCATTTTCTTAGTATAATAGCTTCTTATTATTATTTTTAAATCAATATATACAATAAACTATGTCCTTCTATGTGTAAACACAAATAAAAGGGAAATATAAGATTTTCAATTATGCTTATATAGCATTAAAGTTTTTGTAGATAACATCTAATCAACAAAAAGTTGGTATTCCATTATAACAAGAGTTGCCTCTCATCTAGAACTGAAAATACCTGTCCATGAGTGCGAGACAACATGGAGATATGAGCATTTTCCTTCGCTAATTTGCATATTGCATTTGACAACTCAATCATCACAGGAAATATGACAGTGTTGAACGCCTCCTTCAGTGACAATGCATGGGCTAAATTATTTATATCCTCTGATGTACAAGCAAAATGGAAAAACTCCAGTACCTAAAAAAGAATTTTGTAGAATCTGATGTCAAATATTAAGCATCAAATGAAATCTTTGAAATCACAGTTAGTCATAGTTATAAAAAGAGGAAGCATAGAGTACCCACAACAAGGAACATCAAAAAGAGGAAGCATAGTTATAAAAAGAGGAAGCATAGAGTACCCACAACAAGGAACATCAAAAACTCACCTCAGCGATCTCAGCATTGGATTGACATTTCTGTTTCAAGAAGTATTCCACTGCCTTAACATCGTGGTTAGTTACTTTTTCAATCTTTTTCACTTCCAGAGCATCAGCTTTGCTGAAGCCACTAACTATACTTTCTAAATAAGACCTGGCATTCTCGCTAAAGTTTTGAAGCTCCTTGATTTTAGGTATTTCTGTTAATTTTAGCAACCATTTTACCTAAAAAAGAATCGCTTCATATTAACATTTTGCGCTAAGTAGCCAACATGAAAATAACTACAGTGGCCAGCTTTGTCAGATCATGATGGGTAATGGAGAAAGAGGTAAACCTTTTTTACTTGTAAGTTACCTCTTTCTCCATTACCCAAGACATGACTACACTATGACAAGTTTTAATGAAGACTGCTACCTATATCAAAGCAGAGGCTGGACGTTTTGTCAGATTGTAAAAGAAAGCACACTAATAAGCATGACCTAAATAAACAATGTTCGATGGACTCATATAGAAACTGCTAATACTACATCATATGCAAATTTATTAGAAGAGGGGTATTATTGTCAGATATGCATATCAAATATAAATATCCCAACGGTTCACAGAACATTTTAGGCACAACTTTAAACCTTTAACTAAGGCTTTAAACCTTTTATCTAAATACCTGAGACATATTATGATTTGTAAGCCAGACGGAACAAGGATATCCAATCAACAACAACAGTTTCTTCATGCTTTACCAGAAACATTTCTTTATCATTCGCTACAAAATGATTGTATAATCTACATTTAAATATGAAACCACTATTCTTAAAAAAACATAATGTAAGACTAACACTGTGCACTGGTGTTGAATAAAAAAATACTTATTAAATATGTATTCTTACAGGAGAATTTAATGAAAATTACCTCCACCATTACACGGTAACGGATTAACCCATATTCACTAAAGAATGGGTGCAAATCCTTGACTTTCTGCAAATATCGGCCATCTAAAGGTGATAAAGCCATAATGCTAAAAGACTCAAGATCAACAACCTCCTCTTCACGATGATGCTCCATCTAAAACATTAAAGTTCACACAGCCAAAACATATTCAACCAGTTGTCCAAATATGAGGAAAATTGAAGAAAAAGGATCACCAAAAAAATTAGATCATTCCGGATCAAACTTAATCATCATTGAAGATTCACAAGCCCAATTATTGGATGGAATACAGCTCACTATAAATTGGGGACTGCCAAAGGATCATCTCAATTTTTTTTTAAAAAATTAAGAACCTGAAATTCAAAATACAACAGTGGAAGCCCTACATTACAAATTCAGAAGAAGAAGAAAAAAAGTGACCTATACCATATGATATTTATTATTTACTAAAAGTTTTATGCTCTATCGCAAAATATTCCCTCCTATAAACTTATAAAAAATCATATCTTTATTCAAAAATCCAAAAGATGCCACTTTTGAGAAACATTTAAGAAATAATCACAAAAAAGCAAAAAACAAGCATGCAGTCAATAAAAGGCAGGGCATGCATTCGTGGAAATTCCCCAGCCAGGGAACCGGGAATGGAGATCTTTACCTTCGTAGTCGTGACTCCTTCTGAACTGCTCAACGAAACCCTAAGTGGTTCGAATCGCCGAGGAGGGGTGGGCTGAATCCGAAACCCTAGCTGGCCTGATCGTCTGCTGATCGAAGACGAAGAGGGAGAGGAGGAAAAGGGTGGCAAGAAAGCGAACGGGGCTCGAGGGGGTGATAAGAGCTTTTCCATAGAGCAGGGCCGTACCTAGAAATTTTGGGGCCCAAGACGAAATATTAGATGAGCAACTGTTACGGGTATAATCAATAATACACGATAAGCAATACAAGTATTTGGAAAAGAATCTAACCACTTTATATAGTTCAACACTTCAATTGGACTATTAATCTCTACTTTTAAAACGAAATATAGGTTGTACGTTCATTTCATTAGCAAGTTCTTTAGTTGAATTCAAAGCAGACATAAAACCATTTTGTCTATAATTTTCTAAATATACAATAAGACCCTTTAATTGATCTATGGCAATATCAATATGCATATCTTTAGATTGTAAGATTTTACTAACTGAATTAACAACAAACAGTATGTCATACCAAATATTCATAGCTAATAAGAATTCAAAATTTTCAGTCTTATAAATTGCTAAGCTATTAGCTTCACTTTTTATCTTTGGATCTTCACTAATTTCTGCTAATTGAATCAAAGCATCTCTTATATTTGGAGCTTGAAATTTTATTGCTTTTAACACTTTCAATTCGACTTTCCCATCTAGTTTGAGATAAAGATTTAACGGATAACTTGCTAATAACAATTAATTTCAAAGAAGAAATACACAATTTGTGAAGGCACGTTAACCAAAAATAACCATAAAATTAAAACAAACAAAAATAAAAAACAAAAGGAGTAAGTTCCAAGTTTAACGTGACTGGTTCACATGGCATTAAATGAAAGCCACACAGATGTCTTCTTCTCACTCTTCTTTCATTAAACCCCTCTGAAGTAACTAGCAAAGCTCTCAACTTTGATCACCATTTGAGATTTCTAAGCCTTTGATCTCAAATTTTTAATCTTTTATTATCTGGGTTTGATCCATTTTCTCAATTTCTGCCATGAATTTCCAAAGCTTGACTGTCAAGAACAGTTCTTGGTTTAAAGAAAGGGGCGTTGGGAGCCGGAACAATGGGATCTTTCGTCAAGGATTGAAGTGCAATTCTAGGAAATATGCGGGTTTGAGAGCAAGTAGGTTTGAGGAGTTGCATTCTCTGTTCTTACCTCAGATGTTACCCAGGAGACCGTAGTAAGTGACTTCCTTTAGAAAAGATTTGATCTTTTTCCCTTTCTTTTGGAATCTAAAGGAAACAAAAGTAAGTGACTTCCTTTAGAAAAGATTTGATCTTTTTCCCTTTCTTTTGGAATCTAAAGGAAACAAAGTTGGCTTCTATAAAACTGAACCCTAAACCCCATCTTTTTCCCTTTCTTTTGGAATCTAAAGGAAACAAAGTTGGCTTCTATAAAACTGAACCCTAAACCCCACGTCTACGCCCAAAATCATCTGTTTCAGTTCGTTTCAGTCCAGATTTCAACCCTAATTTCAACAATAATTAGGAAATCACTCAAATTACGACTCTCCTAAAGCCAGACCAAGATCAAAAATTCAAAATCGAGACGTCAAACCCCATTTTCTATCTAAACATTTAATACCCATATCAGAAATCAAAATCTCAGACGGTTACATGCAAAAATAAATCACGGGTTTGGGAAAAAATCGAAGGAGTTACCAGAAAAATCTCTGTTTTTTTTATCCAGAGAGGCTGGCCGTTGGCGGCGGCGCCGCGGGAGCGGAGGTGTGGCTAGCGGCGGGAGTAGGAAGAGGCGAAGAGCTGGGGGAGACCGGAGCGGAGAGTCGGGAGAGTTTATCAGTTTAATCACTTGATGTTTGAGAGAGGAGGCGGTGGGAGGGAGTGGGAGTAATAAGAGAGAAAGAAATAGGGTTAGGGTTGTTCGGGGTTTAGTGGAGCGAAACCCTAACGCTAGATTTTCAAGGGGGAGGGGGGATTTGTTCGGGGTTTTAGTGGAGCGGGAAAAAGGAGCCGCCTTTCTTTTAGGGCTTGTTTGGATTGAGGGAAATGAGGGTGAAGGGAAGTTAGGGGAACCATTCACCTCAATTCATCTTGTTTGGGAACACTTAGGAGGTGAAGTTAATTCACCCTAGTTCCCCTTGGTTCACCCCCTAATAGTATAAAATTTGTTACCCCCAATTTGGGGTGTAACCAAGAGGAAGGGAACTCCATTCTCTTCCCTTCACTCAGTTTCCCTTAACTTCCCTTCACCACCTCTTACAAATCCAAACAGGCCCTTAAAGAATCGGAGAGAGCGAGGAGCGAGCGCCTTGCTTCATTTTATACGCGTTTCATGTTGAGGTTAGGTTCGGTTCATCAGATATTTTCTTTAAAAAGGAAGGTAAATGATGAATAATCTAAAATAATCAATGCATATAGATTTTTTGCAAAACTTTGTTGTAGGTCCCTTGTGTGCTAGCCAAAGTATCGTTTCGGATCATTAATATTTAGAAATCATCAACCACGGTCATTAATATTATCATTGTCATCAATCTATGTTCTTTTTGCAAACTTCTGTAAAATATTGTTGACGAGATCACATGGCTGACACGTTAGCAAAAATTAGTTGTAAGTTTCATACAAACGTGTATGTTGAACTTGTGATTTCACTAATTTTTTTTGCTGAACATGACAGGGCCAGATCATTGTCACGTCAACAAAATCTGATGACGAATGTAATATTAAGAATAAAATTGCCTCGGGGACCCCAAATAAGAGACTCAGTGGAGACAGATGAGGTGTCCTCCTCTAAATACATGATGCGCTGTTCATGAACAGTACATCATGTATTCCGAGGGGGACACCTCACATGTCCCCCTTGGGTTCCCTATTTGGGGTCCATATAGCAGCACCCTATTAAGAATCACCACAGTTAACTTTTATCAAATATTAAAAACGCTAATAGTATTTGGGTGGTACGTTCCGTTATAAGTGAAAGAAACTTTACTTGTAGAAATAATCAGGTTGTTTTTGGTACGTCAGCTTGCTTACTGCAAAACAAATAGCTCATTTTTCTTTTCTTTTTTCTTTTTTTTCTCCTTTTTTCATTTCTCAAAACTCTTGATACTTATCATAATAATATTTGCATGAGATCCCAAGCTATAGGCACTGTTTCTGAGAAAAGAACAGAATATTAAGCTGATGAAACTTAAGTTAATTCAGGTACTAATGAGCAAAACTTGATATAACAGCTATCACGAAATTCAACAGAACAATAAACTTTTTACTGTCAACAGGTTTTCCCAAATATTTTACTCTTCGAGTTCGAAGCAAACTATGCTCCTTTGAGGCACATTAGAGAAAGAACTAGAGTGATTTTTGTTTCTGCATATTTAGATGTTGCTTTCGCATATTTTGATGTAATTAGAGAAGCAACTGTATTTTTCGGATCTGGATTCTCTCTACTTATGTGATAATTAGAGAGGGTCTAATTCTCTCAATTCTTATAGATGAGATCACGCCACGTAAAATTTCCACCGGATATTTTGATAGTTGTTTTCAAGTGTACTAGTAGTTTCAAGACCGTACGGATGTTAAAGATTGAGAGAGTAGAACAGGACAACAACTAACCGCATCTATATATGTAAAAAACAAGAAATCTATGTTGTGAACAAAAAGAGAACATAACTAAGGCAGAATCGTGCCACCAATACCAGTATATATACCACACAGAGGTTTGTTGATATCTACAGATTCAAGTACCCAGATACTTTATTTCAAAAGGAAAGAACACAGGAATATTGTTCAAATCGCATACCCAGATACTTTACTTCAAGTATTTCAGATGAAAACAAACTATCAAGGAGACGATTGACAGTAGAGGGGGGAAAAACCTGCATGGGGGGATAAATCCAATAATCAAATCCCCCGACTTACAATATAACAGCCGAAGCATTCTGATTCCTGCATGTTGATCACAAATACAAGTACCAGGAGAATACAAAATACATCTTTCAGCCAAAGACGATGCATGCAGGATCCTTAAATGTCAAAACCCATGGAGATGCACGTACCATAGTAGCATTTTTCAAGGTTTCGCGCGAACGCAGAACAAAAGAACTGCTGGAAAAAATAGACATGCAAACAACTAGATTTAGTAAAACCTGTACGTTAATAAATCCACTGAACATCTCCGCAATCAAAAACCTACAGCACTTGGCCATCATTAATCATGCAGAATGAAGATTATCTACAAAATATAAGTTCTGGGAACATCACAACCATCGAGGTTGTACCAAGTCCAACTAAGTGCATAAAATATTTCAAACAATTTACAGAAACAGAAAAGTTCCTGGAAACACCATATCCATCCAAAGCATGCCATATTGACGCAGCCAAAAACCAAAAGAACAACTCGGTGAACAAAATATTTCAAACGATTATGGAAAATATACCAAAAACTATCAGCAAGCAGTTTGTAGCAAGATCTGCATGCAGGCAGAAGTCTCCTACGTGGTCACAGTATGATCGCAAAAGTTCACGCAGAAGGTAAAAGCAACCACTGTATCTCATTCCATCAAAAAAGAAGAAGCAGCAAAAAAAACAAACTGGCCTCAGATTACTTAAAGAATGTTGTCATAATATATTAATAGAAGAATCTCCATGAGTTCTTGACTTTCGGCTAGGAATAAGACCTTCTGCAATACTCTTAAGCTTCAACTGCCACTAGAATTTCAAAACAATCAATTGGCAGAACAGAGCATAGACTTTATTCTTCAAATCAAAGCGAACTCAAATAATGCTAGGTGATGATTTAATATAAAATGTGAATTGCTATAGCTCGGGATTTAGTTGAATCTCAGGTTGCATTTTGGCTCTTTTATGAATCAAATACCATATTAAGGCATCCTTTATTGGTATTAGATTCTTTATGCATACGCTTTAAGAGCCATTATGCATCTATAAATTTCATTTCCTTTTGAGGAAAATTCCAAAATATACTGCTAATTAATCCTAACAAACATCTGAAAGAGCCGAAATTTCCTGCCATAAGGTATGCATCTTTCATGGAAATCCCAATAGTTAGCTAAATATCTTCCAGATAACACTAAATTTAACAGCTCTAGTTATTCTATACTTAGCCCATCAACCACAACATCTTCAAACCTTCTTCATGCTAGGGGGGAAACTGCAAATTTAAGCCTGCTGAAATATGGGCAACAAGTTATTGATTCAAGTCAGATCCTCCTTTCACGTTTTTCATATTTGCTCCAAATTCCTATAAAGACTAGAGAACTCTGGATGCTAATGTTTATTTCCACACAAGTACTCCCAGTACACGAGCTCAAATCCTTTACTGAAGGTTAAAGTTTATCTACCAACAAAAAGGTCTAAAAGTCTTGAGTATGGAAAGAACTTGCGCATTTTTTCTAACTTTATGCAATCATACGAAAATTTGTTATTCAGATCTCTTGTATGAAGTTTCATTCAATAGTTAACATTATTAAAATCGACGAATTAAGTGTTTATATTTGCCAAAAGCAATAACCAGAACTACCAAGTAAGGCGCAAGGCCAAACAAGATTTAGTTCTAGAAGGCAAAACGAGCATAGTTGGATACCCCCTCGATGTAATGCATATTAGTCCATGAAACATAACCAAAATAATCAATGCATGAAAGATGCTGCATAAATGAAATCCAAAAGAATGTAACTAGCTTTTATTCCACTAATAAAAGAACAATTCAAAAGAACTGATATATAATTCACCTCTTCCATCAAACCTATCAGCTCATGATCCATAGAAAGGAAAGTGTATGAAGTATGAACTTACTTCAACAAGAAACCTTAAAAGGAGATGTGAACTCAGCTGGTGATTTGAGCTATTCTTCGAACACTTAGCAACATAAACAATTCCAACTAACAAGCCAGTATAGAAAATACCAAATAGGTTCCTCCCAAAATGGATATGCACTAAAAACAGTAGGCCATAAAAGAACTGAAATATGACGCATCCTCATATACAGCATCAAGAGAAGAAATAAACGGAAAAAAAGGTACAAATTGAAATGCAGAAAATCTTGTCCACTAAAGAAGGCATGTCATCAAAGAATGCCAAATAGATTCCTCCCAAAATGGATATGTACTAAAAACAGTAGGCCATAAAAGAACTGATATTTGACACATCCTCATATACAGCATTAAGAGGAGAAAGAAATTAAAAAAATGTACGAATTGAAATGCAGAAAATCTTGTCCACTAAAGAAGGCATGTCATCAAAGAGCAGAATAGCTGATAAGCATTCAACTATACAGCCAAGGCATGTCATCAAAGAGCAGAATAGCTGATAAGCATTCAACTATACAGCCATTGGATGCGCAAGGTTAATCTTCCTTCAGTTGTAAGTACTAAGAAAATAACGCCTATCATTAGCAAAAATGCAAGAAATTGCAGTATCTCAAGAAAACCTGAACGAAGCTGATGCTTTCAGCCATGAACAATAAACTTGAAACGCTTGCAGATTTCTTATCTTTGTCTCAGGTCCACAGAAGGCTGCCAGGAAAACATCTAGCAGAAGTTCCCAATTTCTTCTCTATCATCGTCAGGATTGTTGCAGATTCTTCCGTCATCATTACCTCCAATTACCAAATCAGACCGGTCTTCCTTGCAAAGAAAAGCATTAGTCAGTGACCATGATCAGATACCCAACTTGACACCATAACTTAAATACACAACATGAAGATCAACATGATTTCTTTATCTCAATCCACATTAACCTGACAACCACGTGATCTACATCTTGTTCAAGCAAAATCCTACAAATCCTACTGGCTGCCAAATGTATAACCTTATAATACTTGACCCCAAAACACTCAAACAAATCTCAATGATTTTGCTTCTACAGAGCAGCAAATGCCATCGTTCACCTGCAGAAATCATGGATGCTTCTTGACCTGTAAAACTATGCTCTAGAACTCTCCATAGAGCAGCAAAAAGGATGTTATGCTCATCGAAAGTTCCTGTAAGTTCTCCTTAAAGCTCATCTTCCGAAAGTCTGCTAATAGAAAAGGATAGCTTCACACACCTTGCAGCATCATAAATCACTCTGACTACAGGTGAGCCGATCAGGGAGCTGGGGAAGAAAGGGGATGGATGTGATCCATCAAATGTTCCATCATGTGGTTGGGTCTAGAAGACATGCAAGAGAAAAGAGGATCCGATCTTTCCAAGTTGGATCTAGAAGAAAAGTAACTAGAACACCCTGATTATAGGCGCACAAATCTTGAAGCAATAAAAGGCGTCAATGAAGCATATAGATATTCTAATCAGGGACCTCTCCCTCGCCTTCCCTACCTCCCTCCCTTGTTAGGAGCTCCAGCAGCACGAAAGAATTCAAAGAAACAAAGGAATGTGGCACTCCAATAAGAAGTATATATACGTATATATATTATAATATATATATATATATTAATATATATATTATATATATGATAATATATATATGATATATGAAAAATAGGTATTGCTTGGGTAAGTGAGGTGGCAAATCAACCTGTCCACTCATTCAATGTGGAACAAATTCATGATGAAGTGGTGAGTAGGATGGGGATGTGACACATCACTTACCAAGGCAAAATTTGTGCTTGGTACCTAAAAGCATACACTTTCGTCTCTCTCTCTCTCTCTCTCCCTCTCTCGCTCTTCTCTCTCTCATATCCTCTCGTCTCTCTCTCTCTCTATATAATATATATATAATATAATATATATATAATACTATATAATATTATATATCAACCTTTTGAGATCATGCACTATAATTACATCTTTCCAGATAACCCAACCACTGGAACGAACTTTGAAAAATCATACCCTCTCCCTCTCCCTCTCTATTTGCAAACCCAAATATCTGGTAGAACATTTATTCCCCAACCTTCAAATCAATTATCCCAAATCATAACCACCTAATCAACTTTCTTTAACCTCAATATCCACATTGAAACTTCTCACGGCACAAAAAGTATAAATAAGAAAGAAAATTTCCTGCCATCCTCTCTCTTGCTGCATTTACCACAATCCAGACAATGCCAGGATGTCTCTGTAATAAGTTCTTAAGAGGAATTTATGAGGGTGCAAGCTACGTGAAAAAGTGAATGTACCTTCCTACACAAGGGCTATCCAAAACCCCATTATTGTGTCTAACGAACAAATTTCATAAATGGAGGATATAGTCTAGACAATGACAATAGGGTATGGCGTGAAAAGCTTCAGCAAGAAAAGTGTTCATTTATTCAACTTCGGAATTTGACCTTATGTTGGGTGTTAAACTGAATGCAGATCATTCAGTAAAAGATTTTGGAAGCTCCCAATTTTTTTACAAGCTTAACTTTGTTGTTTCAATTCTAAATACACACTGGACTTGTTCGGAAATTGAAAATGTGATATTAAAAAGTATAAATGTCAAAGAAGTGGACATTTATGTACCTGCTCTCCCTCCAGAAAATGGTGAGTGGATAGTTTCCTAAAACTTTCCTTGGAGACTGACTTCAGCAAGCAACTAGTGTGCTTATTGGCCCCAACATAATCCATGGCCCCCTACTCTGTTAATTGTGACCTTCTAGCCAGTAAGGTTTGTGGGTGGAGTCAGAAAATGAAGCTACTAAGTTCACGATGGCTATGGACAATGATGATACCAAAAACAACAACAACAACAACAACAACAATTTTTATTATAATAGGGGATAAAAATGCAGTGCAAATACACACCAATAATAAGAACTTTTGGAAGAGATAAGATAGTGTTTTGGTTTCCATATGATGCAGAAACATGTCAGAAATGGATAACACTTCCAATTGTCTAACATCCCTTTGCTTATAGTTATAACCCTATGTGGAACCTCACGTGCATGTGGATTCACCCAAAACTTATCATTGTTTACTCCATGTGCACCATTGTCTTTGTTTAATGAAACTTTGCACAGCTGTTACTATTGTCATTGTTTACTCCTTGTGTACCACTTTAACATATTACGTGAACTTTGTAGGTCAACATAGCTTCTAAGAGACAGTAAAACACTATAGCAAAACCCCCCATAATCCATTGGATAGCCTTTCTAGAAACTACTATAATCAGAGTATGAAAGAACAAACAGGAAAAAGAAGGATCAGATCACGCCAAGTAGAAAGTATGGCCAAAATCCAAAAGCACCGGACATGCTTACTCTTTGACCAATTCTCTAGAACTCATATAATTATAGGTTGATCAATTATCTAATTATTAGCTGGAATTTAAATATAAATGCCTGCCATATTGTCTTACAAAAACAGTAACAAATGGCAAAAATTAGCAACTCACTTGTATTTCTCATTTTGAGATCAAAGAGGAACGTTAACATAAGTACTAAAGGAGAAGGCGAGGCAGCTAAAATTATCTAGTCAATTTGTCATGTTACCAGAGAGTAAAACAGCCACAAGCGTTGAACTAATCAACATTCATGCGTACAACACATCCTCTACTTCCATCTAAGTGTTGATAAAACAAAAAGAACTACCTATTGTCTGCATGGAAGAATTTACAGTGTCTGCATGAGAACAACGAATGCAGCTGATACTTATTCAGCAACACACGACAACTCAAAATAGCACGCAGATGGGTTGTTGTCATCATCGCAGATCACAAAGGGTGCAAAGAGTACCTTTCAAGAGCTTAACAAAACAGGCACCTCAGCACAATTCTTCACTTATTCCCCACCATCACAGTTATTGGTGCTCAGGACCTTCTCCTCATTGTCGTCATGATCCTCATCAATCTCCGAATCCAATTCCAGCCTATCCTGCTCCTCTTTCTTTCGCACAATATCCCAAAAGAAATCCGTCAACACAGTCTCGTATGATGGCATTTTCGCATACCCAGGAAAGTAATTAATATCAATCACAAAGTAATGGTTTCCAACTTTCACATCCCTAATCATATCAAAATTAAAAAGGTGCAGAACCGTCACTCTCCTCAACCCTCTCGCAATCTCTGTTACAAAACTCAACGGGGGCATCTCAGCCTCCTCCAAATGCTCATAATACTTCTTCTCTCTCCGATCCTGAGTCGAAATATTAGACACCTGCGAGAACGTCATCGACCCCTCAGTGCTCTCCAACTTCTCCTCCGAAACATCTGGAAGCGACTTCCTCCTCACACACTTCACATAGTCCCCAACAACATAAACCTTGAAAATAACCCCGCCATGATTCACAAACTCTTGGAGAACGAGAGGAGGTTTCAGCTTCAAAAGACCAGCACGATGATAAACAAGCGACATCTTGTGACTCTTGGCACTCCCATCGGCCACCAAAGGCTTGGCAATCACAGGAAATCTTAGGGCATCAACAGCACTGGAATCAGAAAGCGCGATCGAATCATAAACCACGACCTGGCTCGGGATCCCAAACGTATCATCACTGTCCTGAGGGATCTCGAGCTCGGACACGACCTGCAACATCGAGATCCGATTGTGTAACCTCTCAATCGCGTTAGGGCGATCAATGATGGGGACATTAGGGTTCTTGATCGCGAATTCTTGAAGCTGAAACTTCCAATCATCGCCATAGAGCTTGTGGAGCACGCAATCGAAGGGGCCCTGCTTCAATAGGGGAATCGAAGGATCGATTTGGACGAGATCGATCCCTCGATCTCGAGAGAGATTCACAAGGGAGGGTTGGATAAAGCTGTTCTTTTTCTTGGGAGCGAGAGCGTAGCCTATTCGATATCTCACGGATTCCTCCATGGCGAGCGAGCGTCGATGAGTCCGTCGTCGATCTCAGATTGCCTGCAAGAATCAGCCACATTATTAGGTCGAGAATGGGGAGGGAATTTGGGGATTTGGAATTCTAGGGTTAGGGTTTACCGAAAAAATAACATAAAACGAAGAAACTAGGGTTTCCTTTTTCTTTTCTTTTTTCTTGAGAAATTAAATGGATAAACGAGAGCAGCTGGCGAAAGCGCCGAGAGAGAAGAGAGGAGGACGATCAGAGGCGAGGGGATTTTATAGCTCGACTCGAGGTGTGGTCACCGCAAGGTGAGGTTATCGCTACCTGATCTTTTCTGTGACGTGGACTGAAGGCGAGGGACACGTGGCAATCCGACGGATCAACTACGTCGAGCACCGTAACAGCTGAAACGGACGGTTGGATTTCGCCCTACGGGATCGACTGTAGAGATTTGTTGGGGGGGAGAGCAGCTCGGCACTGGTGGCGGGTTACTGTAGGACACGTGGGACGATAACAACTGTTTGATTGTGAGCCAACGGCGATGGGAGGGCACGTGAGCAGGGAGGTAGGGGGGCCCCGCGAGATTCTTGGGCGCGAGAGGTAACCGTTAATTTTCTAGGCTGTCTTCTGTTTTCTACGGGATCCGGTGGGGAGACGTGGCGTGTGTTTTGGGTACGTGGCATTATTCGAGAGGGGTTGTACGATGTTTCACTAGGCGAATCTTGATTCGGATTGGGTAAAAGAGTTCGGATTTTTTACGAGTTGAGATTCGCATCCATTAGGGATACCCGGATAGCTCCGTTTTGACGCCAAGGGGGCTGTTTGGTTGCTTTCCACCATTTTTCAAGTCCAATATTTCTTTACTTTTTGGTGTTTCTTCTACTGTCATGCAAAGTTATTTAGGGGATGTTTGGTTCGCTATTATAAGGGGTGGAAAACTCAGAAAACCCCTCCACGTCAGTTTTTTTGTTTCCGTCCATTTCTTTGTGCCGCTTTGGTTCGCTCGTATGGAAGAGGGAAAACTCTGTTGAAATCGCCGCCAGCTCAGATTTTTTTCCCTCTCCAATTTCCTTCCTCAACCAAGTGAAATTGATGAAAACTCTGTCACGTCAGATTTTTTTCCTTCTCTGCTTTGGTTACAAAAGTTTTTCTTTTTTTTCTATGCGAACCAAACACAAGAAAAATAAATACATTGGTTTCTCACCATTTTTTATGTGCGAACCAAAGCAAAACAATCTATTTCTTGAAAAAGTTTGAAAAACTCAAAACTTATATTTCTTTACATGGAATTGCATTTCCCTATATCAAGGAAACGAACCAAACAACCCCTTATTGTGTTTGTTTTGCAAAAAATATGGAGGATAATTAATTTCCACTACTTTTCATTTGTTTGGTTCAATTTGAAAAGAGAAGAAAGCAGTTGATACATGAGTGGATTCCATCATTTCTTAGTGTTTGTTTCAAACTAAAAAATGAAAAAAACTTGATTGTGGTCACTATGGTGTGATTACCATCCATATAAGATAAAATTATTAGCAACAAAAGTTGAGGGGTTAACTTGCTTTCCATCGCACAAAAAGTGTGACTATTTGAGAGAGAAAATTCAAAACATTTAAAGATGTGAGGGAGTTATTTGCAATAATTGTTTAAAGATTTGAGGTAGTAAACTTTGAAGGTGTAATATGAACCCCCGGATACTATAGAAAAAGCTTATATTATGCTCAGTTTTGGTCTATGTCGTCATGATATGCCTCGCCATGAAACCTATAACAACAATGTTGGTTGCATGTATTGCATCGCCAATTGATTACTAGTATAAACTTTGGTTACATACATTAAAAAAGACCATCATCATAGCATAATATCACATTACCAATGTCATAACAACCATTTCAATCAACTAATAACAAATATTCACAATCTTACTAAATGCCAAGTCATATAACCAAGAACCAACGACCAAATGTCCCTACAAACGTGGCAATCTGAAGAATCAAGTTATATAACCGAATAAGATAGCTACCACATGTAACCAGTAGCCAATAACAGAAATGGCAATTTGAAGAATCAATATGTATAACCAAGAAACAAGAGCCAAGTTCATGGAGAACACTTGAAGAATCAACTAGAGTTATTGACAATGCTAACATTTATAGAGAGAATGCATAAGCCAAGCACACATCGAGCTAGCCTTTTCAAACAATAAACATGCTGAGACAAGAGTCAAAGCATAGAAGGGAAGTATTGGTCCTGCAGAGACTAGTATATACAACATGCAACAGAAACCAAGACTAAGACCAGGACTGAATCCAATACCAAGGTCATCCAAGTTGCAAACCAAGACTGAAACCAAATCTGAGACCAATAATAAAACCAATATAGAAACCATCCAAGTCACAAACCAAGACTAAAAATATAACGTAATCAATAAGCTTACAAGTACATCGATCGCTAGCATGTAATGCACAAAAATATGCACAGAAGCTTCAACCTCTTACCATGTTCTAGTGCACACAAAAAAAAAATTTAAACCAAGACTAAGCCAAGGACACAACTTCCAGCATCTAATAGAACAGAACAAAATGCTTAGCAACAAGCAATCAATTGGCTGCAAATTCAGAGCCAAACACACAACTATGTACACAACTATTTATGTTCTTGAAACCAACAGAACAGAGCTTTGCAAATTACAGCTAGAGCCTCCAAATCAAAAATTTTGTGTAAAAAAAGCAAACTGGAGCTATGAAGACTATTTCAAAAACTCTATGAAAGTATCAAAAAGTGCAAACCAAGGCTGAAATCAAAACTGAAACCAAACCAAGACTGAAACTAAGGCATCAATTTATGCTCTATTTCTGGTTATTGTTTAAGCATTACATAGGGCATGTTCACCTCATATTATAATGCATCCAAGCAATTAGTATGGGAAAGTGGAACCCCTTGTCTTTCTTTGGTTTTCAATTCGTGTCATCTCCAAGATGATTTTTGCATATGCATAAACTTTAAAACCTACAAATTTGTCCTACGTGAACATTATCATAATCATTTTACGTAATGATTGATTAATTATTTTGTTCAGTTCTTATTTGCAGTATGATTTGTCTGCCAAATTGTTCAGTCAAGAATTAAATGTCGAAACGGGCAGAAAACTAAACTTCGCCATAGAGACTATATGCCTATTAATGACAGGTATTGTTACATTCCTAAAATATGCTAAATGTTTGCAACTAGGATAAAGAAGAATACACTTATCTATGCAAACACAAAAGAACAATAAGTGTTATGTAATATGTTTAGCTTGTAGTTATGAATTAAAAAATGAAAGTATGATAGCAGCAGTCTACATATCTGCAGATGTAAGAGCAAGCATAACAAATTAATAATCATGTGTTGATTGGCATGCATGAGGTTCATCTTCCACCGACTAATCTTCGAGTTTTTAATGCAAGCAAAACTATTTTCGTCGTGTCATTTATCTTGAAGCTAACCATGATGCTAGCTATTCCGTGCAAAACCCACAAATCATACACACCGCAACCCCAAAACCCCAAGAAACAAACCCATCCTATGAGGAATTTCATCAAACGGTGAGAATGCAAAATTAGCAGGAGAAGATTTTACCGCCATGCAAAAGATTCTCTGAGTAACCATCTCCCATCTTTCATAAAATAGAGAATCCTCTCACCAACAAATTTGTTTGCCAATAATTCAGTCTTACAGATCAAGATAAGCGAAAACCCATCAATAATTCCCTAGAAAACCAGAACAGAGATCTATGAATCTATGATTATACATGACAATAAACCGCGTTTATTATTGTGTATAGAAGCTTTTCAGATATCTGAACGGTAAAAAGCCATGCAAAGGGTACGCATAGAATTCGTCACGCGCAACATCGAGCTGCCTTTAAAAAAGGGAAAATTTGCAAAATAGACCATTTTTATGAAATATATAGCGAAATAGACCACTTTGAAAAATAAAATAGACCATTTTTATGAAATATATAGCGAAATAGACCACTTTGAAAAATAATTAGCAAAATAGACCTCTTTTGAAAAATATATAGCGAAATAGACCACTTTGAAAAATAATTAGCAAAATAGACCTCTTTTGAAAAAAAGAGGTTGATTTTGAAAAACAATGCTCAGAAAACATACGGGACTACTAGTCCCGTATGTTTATAGCCAACTAATCACGGATTAGTGACTCAGAAAACATACGGGACTACTAGTCCCGTATGTTTCCTGAGCTGTTTTACAAAATAGACATCTTTTTTGCCTGTTGGCCAAAAATATATATATTTTTCTAAGGGAAAATTTGCAAAATAGACCGTTTTTAAAAAGTAATTAGCGAAATAGACCACTTTTGAGAGTAATTAGCAAAATAGACCTCTTTTTTCCTCCAAGAATTGTGCCGTATTAAAATTAGCCAAGCTTGCTTGGAGAATTTGGATAAAAGAATTCGTATTCCTACAACAAGTTGAGATTCGCACCCATCATCGGGTCGAAAAGTCTGGGGTGGCATTTGCTCGTTGACTGGGCCCCACCATCGGTGCGCACGAAACGGTTTGAAAAACTTTAGTCCGTCACCATCTTCCTGACCCGCTTAAAAACTAGAACGACTCTTGGGAGACTCGGGCTCCTTCTGAAGTCTTTAAGTCCACGAAGTGCATTATCGTAGTCTGAAAGTTTCTTCATTAGAGCGATTTATAAAAGGGAAAATTGCTTGGAGGAACCAAATAAAATTGGGTTATGCATCCCCACCCTCCAACTAGAGTCAACCACTTGGGGGCACCTTGACCCAAGTTTTCATGCTTTTACACCCCAAACTCACTGCCCAAGAAATCCAATTCCCAAATTACCCTTCTTCCCAAGTTAAAACCCATTACTTTCCTCCTCAATCTGGCCCAAGACCTCCCCCTCCCCCACCACCGCCGACGCCTCCACCCCTACGCCACCGTGTCATTGCCAACGACTCCTCGATCTTCTCATTTTTCTTCAGCGGGCGAGAGATCGGATCTCAAGCGAATTTCACGCTCTCCGACCCGAATCCGATAAAACTCCCAGGGGTACAATTCGACCTCCTCTCATTTCTCCATTGATTTAGCTTTTCTTCTCCGTCTATGATTCTGGGTTGCGGATCTTGAGCAATGCGGGACGGATCTGGGAGCACCCTTTTATCCATTCCGTTGAACTTTTGAATGAATTTTGTTGTTTGGTTAGGATAATTTG